TCTATTCAATGACTTACACGTTTTGTATCATGACTAAAGTCTTTTTTTTTTTTTTTTAAAAAAAAAAAAACCTTTTTCAATTTTTCTTTTGTCACTTTAGAACCAAGAGACTTATCTAGTATTTACTTCCCTTTCTCATCAATTTTTTAGGTGTCTTTTAGGATTCTATGTATTTTTAATAATTTAAAGTCAATTTTTATCCCTGGAATTGCCAGATTTTCTTCTTCAGAGATCCATATGAATAAGAAAACATTTATAAGATTGTTTTGAAATATGATTTGGAAACCTAACTTGTGTGTTGTTTAGAATAAGTGTGCATAAAGTTTCAAGATAAGTTCATGTCTACCATATTCTTTTATTAAAAGATATTTGCATGTTAAAAAAATGGTGATCCAATTGTTCTGCATTTCTATTTGTAAACTTAAATTGATATTGATTATAATTAAATGAATAAAATTTTATGATATATTTGTATCTACCATAATTGCTTAAGAAGATGTCCCATAATGGGAAGAAAATGGTGATTTGATTATTTACTGTTATTTTTAAAACATAAGTCCTTGTTTAGAATTAAGCATGCTAAAACAGTTGAGATATAATTCTTTTTTAATGGAATTACCACCAAGCTGTTATTACTTTCAAGTAGAAGATACGGGACATGGGTCCTTGATTTCTGATCACATCTAATGAGATAAAAATCTAAGAAGCTGGTAGAAAAATGAGTCCATAACCAAAATGCTTATTCAGTGACTTTAGGAGATCAAAGGCTATTATAGTAAAGCTGGAATCTACTGAGACAAAACAATTATTTTCTTTGAAAAATATGTGGGGTTTATAAAATTTCTTGGATTTATCTGTGAAAGCATCCTCTGGGTCCTCGTAATGACGTTATTGGGAAACACTTGCATCTCAAGGTGTGGGGGAATAGGAGGTGGTGTTTTGTGGGCTTTTACGGTGGTTAGGTAGTTCTCAGAAGACAGTGCTGGAAATTAGATTATTGCTGATGTCATATTTTTCACACACACACACAAAATTAGTGTCCCAGGGGATATAAAAGCAGCAGATTTTACCCTTCACATCACAAGAAGAATCATTGAAAGAGGTAAATGTTCCTGCCGATTTGGTATAATTGGTTTATTTGATGTGAGATTTCTTGACTAATTATTTTTTCTCTCATATTATCTCTGTCTCTTATTCTCATGATACCAGGTTCTCCTCCTCTAACTGCCAATCACTCGAATTTGAGTTGTCTACAATGGCCACCCTGCAGAAGTCTGTGAGCGCCTCCCTCATGGGGACTCTGGCTGCCATCTGCTTCCTGTTCATTGCCCTGTCGGTGAAGGGAGGGGAAGCTGTGCCCATCAGTTTCCACTGCAGACTGGACAAGGCCAACTTCCAGCAGCCCTATATCACCAACCGCACCTTCATGCTGGCTAAGGAGGTACTCGTCTCAGTCTCTCTTTCTTGTTTATTTACTTTGAACTGAAATAGTCCACACAACATTCTTCAGAGCATTTTTAAGGTCTTTAAATATCCAAAACTTAACCCTACTGGTAGACCAAAGATAGTTTTCCATGTCCCTTTATATATTCTTTGGGGACCTGGTTTTACCAGAGATCTGCCATTTTGGCTTTTAGGATACATAACATTGAGTTTTACTCAAAGAGGAGCCATTTGGTAACCCATGTAAGGATTTCTTTTTCCCTTTGCTCCTTGGTGTATTCTATTAAACTCATGCACACATCTGAATTCTTTCTTTCGTATGGGATTGCTCTGGAAAGAGAGCCTAGGTCCATCTCTACTTACAGACTTTTCTTCTATCTCCTCAGTGTCCAGGGACTTAATCTTTTCTTCTTTTCCAGGCCAGTTTGGCAGATAACAACACTGATGTTCGTCTCATTGGGGAGAAACTGTTCCATGGAGTTCATGTAAGCTTAGTCCACATGAGCAGGGCAGGGTGCCAGCCGTGGTTATTTGAAGGGTGGCAATGATGGTTTGGGTCTTCTGGATGTCTGCCTATCGTGACCCCTGCTGTATGACTTTGGCTTTATAGATGAGTGAGCGCTGCTATCTGATGAAGCAGGTGTTGAACTTTACCCTTAAAGAAGTGCTGCTCCCCCAGTCAGATAGATTCCAGCCCTATATGCAGGAGGTGGTGCCCTTCTTGGCCCGACTCAGCAACAAGCTAAGCCAATGTGTAAGTTCTTCCTCAGCCTAAGTCCATTCATTCCCAGCTGCTTTCTTTACTTCTCTCCTTCTTCCAATTAAAGCCCCCTTCTCTGCCTCCCCTATTCTCTTTACCTCAGTATGCTCACAGTGAGAGGTGCCTCAGCAACACTATTGCCAAAAGTCATTTGAAATGAGAGAGTGTCTGTTTTTGCTTTAATTGAGTTACATTTTGAGTTTATGGTAATGAATAGGGTCTAAAAAATCGAATGCATGGAAACCTTATCTGTCCCTAGAAAATAGAAACTCAAGCATGTGATGAGGAAGGTGCTAGAAGCTTTAAGGCAAAAGGCTAGATGAGAAAATGGGCCAACTGAGTTAAAGTTGATGGGAAAGGGGAGGGGAAAGAAAAAGAAAGTGAAAAAGAAGAAAGTGGAAAGGTTTAATGTTCAGGGTGGGTGTGCAGAGACTGTTGCCCCTTTGATATCACGGGAAGTGACAAAGGTAGTGAACCTGCTGGCTCTGAGCACATAGCACTCTTAGAACTGTTTTGAGTGGAATGGGCACCTAGTGTTTATCATGGAGGGCCTACTGTTCATACATTTTTGATGTACTTTTCTTGTTCTGAGGACATGTTTTTGATGAGGTACAATTTGGGTTTTGTTCTTGAGAGAATTTGCATAAACCACTTGACTTTTTCCACAAACTGAAACCTCGGTAGGATTTCCTGAAGTTGAAGAGAGGTCCCGTGAAAGGAAAGTGACTGGATTTTGGTGTCCAAGGGAATTCAAGAACTCAGGAAATCTAGGTCACTGGTGAAATCTAGGTCACTGTGGGCAAAGTTACTAAGAGTGTTAATTCCAGGTGAATTATAAGTTGCCTCAGATAGATTCTGAAGCTCATCAAGCTTCAGCACAACCACATTAAAATAATTATTCTTGTTTTCATTTTGTAGAATGTTCAGGGTGATGACCAGCATATTCAGAGAAACGTGCAAAAGCTGGAGGACACAGTGAAAAAGGTACTACTGATAACTATTAATGCTAGGTTGCTAAATAGGAGCAATAAATGTCTTTGTTTCCTTTTCCTACTGTATGACTTCTGTTTGATTCTTCTACCAGCAGGTACATGTGTATGTATATGTAAAAGTGCCTATATATCTATACAGCAATTTCTAAATTTTGCAAATTATAGAATTCTAGAACTTGCTGGGAACTTAGGTCCTCTGGCCTCATTACCCACTGCCTTGAGGTGGCCAGTGACAAAGGCAGGGCTACAGCGCAGTCTCCTGAATTTCCAGCAGCAATACACACTTAGTTTTAGTGTTATCAATTCTTAGGGAAATTTCACTTTCCTAGTGACTCACGTAATGTGAGAAAAGCTTGTTCAAAAGTAGCAAAGTGCCTGGAGCCAATTCATTTATTTATTTTATTGTGATTTACTTGAAAATTTACAGAGCAAATTCATATTCCATGCAACTCATACACATTTTGTTTAATGACATTGATTGTCATTCCCATAATGTAACAGCTTTCTTCCCACTTCCTCTCTGTGGTTACCCTTTCCCTGTGTCCTTCTTTCCTGTACATTCCTGCCCTCTGAGCTATATCTCTGTGCAAATACTGCTCTTCTGATCTTCTGTGGTTGGTTATTCTAAGGACTGTACATACCTGATCTAAATGTTCACCTTATACACTTGTCTATATTTGTCTGGAAACCACAGGAGTGAGTTCAGTTCCAGGCCTCAAAAATGACTAAGGACCATAGTCTCAGGGGTTTCACCATTCTCTATCTGCCTGGTCATTTTTATAATTTTGAGTTTTGTTCTTCATTTTTCTCCCACTCTGCCCAGAATCTCCTATTTTGATCCCTTTCTGAGTGTGCGGTGAATTTATTTTGAAGACATTAATTTGATAATTTAAAGTTTGTAGAAACAAGCTTAAAAGAGTAATAACAAAAGAGCTGGACTTGCACATAGGGAAAATTCCTGAAATGATTGATACTTACATTTAATTATCCTAATATAACATTCAACAGCTATTGGTTCAGTTTATAAGCAAGAATGAAAAAACCTGGATATTTTTATTTTTTTATTTAAGCAGTTTCAAATAGAATGAAAACATTAGCAAAGACTGAGTTAATTTAGTGAACAGGAAATCCAAATTGGAAGTTATTTTTTCTTCTCTCTGTCTCTTCTTTCTTTCTGGTTTCCTCCCTCCTTCCCTCAACAAATGCCTAGCGAGCATCTATCTATCATGGATCAATCTACATATTTATAGTGAATAATACTCTCAGGTGGTCTAGTTGGGGATAAGGAGAGCAGTAGAAGACTCAAACTAATTGTTGTGCTTACCCAGAAGCCAGAGGGATGATTAAACCGGTCGCAGTCTAGTTGATCTTGATTCATGGTAACCCTATGTGTCTGTCAGACTAGAACCGTGCTCCACAGGCTTCCAGCAGCTGATTTTTCACAAATGTATCTCCAGACCTTTATTCTGAGGCCTCTCTGGTTGGACACAAGCCTCCGACTTTTCACTGAAGTGTGTTAGACTTTTGCACCACTCGGGGACTCCGAGGAATGATAAGTAGCTGAGAAAGTGATGCCCTTGTAAGCAGGTGCAATTAAAGTCTCAGAAATACAAAGGCTCTAGTTGATCAACTTTTCAATACCAAAGCTAACCTCATTTCCCTCTTTTCTTAAAAAAATCTTGATATATATATACACACATTTTATGAATATTTTTAATTTCTTCCCAAGCATAATTTAATGAGCGTAATTATTTCTTCCTTTGCTAATTGAAGGCTTTGTAGTTTTCCATTATGAAGAGTAACTTACGTTACAAAATTATTACTTAGATGCAGAGGGCTGAATACTAGCATGCCCTAGGCAAGAAGTGTTTTGTACTTTTTTGTTTGAAAATATCCCTGATGTCAGCTTATTTTGTTGTCTTTATAAAAGTGAAGTGAGAAAAATTTGAAGGTGATCTGTGTGGGTAAATAGAGAATTTCAAAGCTTTGATCCATTTTAGAGAGAATCAGCTTTCACAGTTGCCATGTGGAAGAGTTATTGGGCTTTTTCTCTGTAGCCCCAAAAAGCACAAGCAAGAGATTATAGTCTTTTTTCAAAAGCTTGACTTGTGTTTCCAGTGAACTAATCATGACATCTCTATTTTTCTCTGCTTGGAAAATACAGTGTAAATGGTCAAATACTTTTATGTTCTTATTTCACAGCTTGGAGAGAGTGGAGAGATTAAAGTAATTGGAGAACTGGGTTTGCTGTTCATGGCCCTGAGAAATGCCTGTGTTTGACCAGAACAAAGCTGGAAAAGGAATAATGAACGCTTCTTGCCAGTTAGAAATAATAATAAGATGCACAATTTTTATTTTTATTTTTTTTACCAAAAAGAAAATGGGAAGTCAAACTCCTTCATCATGAGTGGATTCCAAATGAACTTGGCTTAACTTAAAAAGGAAAACAATGTCACTTGTGTCTATATGACTAGAAAGTGAACCTGTCAAGTGTAAAGAGATTTATTGATAACATTTTATTGTAGCCTTTGTCTTACACACAGAACGTATTTTATTTTTAAGCAATTGTCTATTTCCACATGAAAAAATTGCTTCTCATTCTTCTGGGGGGGGACTTCATGTTTCCATAACAGATATTTTGTATTTATTAATTTATTTATTGTTAAAGTATACATTTTATTTATGCCATTCTATTAATATGAATTTATTTATAGAAATCTCTGATATTGCTACTTAATTTTAAGGCTATTATTAATATTTATGATAATAATTATGGATATGTAATATGTTTATTTGACCTCAATAAATATTTTGATTTCCTAAAATCTTGTAGCTTTGTATTTTTTTTCCTTCAAAAATATCGTCTTTAGCCTTTAATCATTCCCATTTCAGCCAAGTACCTCATATAAATGATTTTATTCTTCACTCTAAGCAAATGAGGTAGGTATTATTATTATTATCCCCATTTTGAAGATGAGAAAATTGTAACTGTAAATATTTGACCCTTATTGAATCAGGTCTTTCTGATTCCAAAGTTCTTTGCTATGTATTTCTATATTGCCTTTACAGATTTATTAAGTTGATTGAGATTGTAATTCTGAAATTAAAAAAAAAAAAAGGTAAGAAACTGAAAGGATCCATCTCCATCACTAGCAGTTTGTGGATAAAAAGGTGCTATCACTGGGGAGAAATACATGCAGCATCTATTACTGTAGGTGAACTGCTTTAGTTCTAATTCTAGCCTAACAGTGGGAGCATTCTCCATTGTTCCTGTAAACTGGGCAATAAAATAGTGGGGAGCTGACTGGGTTTTAGGTCTCTTCTCCAATATGGAGCTTATCACTGATAGAGAAGACTTGTGGGTGGAAAATAGGCTCACTATTATGAAATACATTGAGAGAGATAAAGTTGTACATCTTTCATATTGGTACAGTGGTAAAGAGAAGAGAGACCAGAGGTAAAATTAAAGACTGGACTAGTGCTACCAAGGAGAAATAAGCAAATGAAGAGTTGCACTGAAGATTGGTTCCTTGAAGGAAGGGCTTCAGGAGATTGTATAGATTTTTTCATAGATAGTGAAAATCTGTGGTCAGCCATTTAAAGTCTTTCCTTCTCCAAACAATCAGAAACCATGGGTTTATTCTACAGGCCACTCACCAGTTGTTGGTCCAGTTGCCACTCGCCATTCACCACAGGGTGTCAAGGCTGTTTGTCAAGTTACTGTTTGCCAAGGATTAGGTCAAGCTTGATGATGAGATAACCTCATTGAGGAACACCAATCATGTAAGATGTAGGTTCACACATGGATAAAGTGGAGTTAATACCTGTGGTTTTGAGGCCCAAATGCTAAATGCTCACAGATGGAAGAATAGAGTGGCACTAGAGAACCAAAACAGTAGATAATATTATTATCTGCTGCAAAAGACCTTTTTAAAGTGTTAAAGGGCAAAGACATCACTTTGAAGACTAAGGTGTGCCTGACTCAAGCCTTACACATAGCCTTATATGTATCATATGTACGTGAAAGTTGGACAATGAATAAGGAAGACTGAAGAATTGATGCCTTTAAATTGTGGTGTTGGTGACAAATACTGAAAGTACCATGGACTGCCAGAAGAACAAACAAATCTGTCCTGGAAGAAGTGTAGCTAGAAAGCTCCTTAGAAGCAAGAATGGGCAGGATTTCATTTTACCTACTTTGGTCATGTGGTCAGAAGGGACCAGCCCTGGAGAAAGAGATCATCCTTGGTAAAGTAGAGGGTCAATGAAAAAGGGGAAGACCCTCAGTGAGTTAGATGGGTACAGTGGCTGCAGTGATGGGCTCAAGCATGGGACTGTGCTGGTGTTTTGTTCTGTTGTATATAGGGTTGCTGTGAGTTGGAGCCAACTTGACGGCACCTAACAACAGCAATTATTATCTTCGTTTTACATATGAGAAAACTGATGTACAAAGAGTTATGTACCATGTTTGAGGACACAGCGATTAACTGACAAAGTCTAGATTCAAACTTAAGTATTATTCTGAAGCCTATTTTTTCCCACCAATATTCATAACAATTCTTCCACTTGAGGAATTAATGTGAACAGAGAAGAGGTCTGAGTTCCAACCTTCAGGCTCTCCAACCTTTAGAGGTGGGAACAGAAGGAAGATTTAGCAAAAGAGAACCAGGGAAACCAAATGAAGAAACTATTTCTAAGAGGAGGGAGTGTTCTGTCTCCACCACTGGAACATAAGCTCCATGAGGACAGGGATTTTTGTCCTTATTTATTTCTGTATTCCCAAAGCCTGGAAAAGTCTCTGGCACATACATGGTTTACACATAATTATTTGTTGAATGAGTGAGTGAATTGCAGCATTTTAAAACTAGCAAAGAGTTGGAAATAATAAAAGTGGGTGATTGTTTAAATACATGTTGGTACAAAGATCCCAGCCTTCGTGGATTCACAAATGCTTTAGTCATAGGACAAGGAGTTTAAAATAAAGAAGCTTAAGAATTCTGAATGTCAATGGATATAAGGCATAAGGTGTCTGTATCTTCTTCCTTTCTGGAGGACAGTGATGGCAATTTTGGCAGCTACATGAGATAGTCCAAATTGCTCATAGTCGTTGGTTGGCATCTGCTAAAAGAAAACTGTTTTTTTTTTGGTTGTTTTTTTTTGGGTGTCAGTGGCAATGGCTAGCATTTGGCTGGCATGTCAGCATTGCTGCTGTTCTTGGAATTGGCAGAAGATGAGCATCTCCTCATCCAGTGGCAGATGGTAACACCCAAGTATTCAATAAAACTAATCTGTGAGCTGTGTGAGACACCTACTGAACATGCTAACCACTATTTTAGAAGGACTCTCAGGGCATCTAGCACTGGGAGAAGAGCCAGAGAAAACGAATGTGTACCTAGTGCTGTGACACTGAATCTGGGTTGCCTGGGAATTAAGAGCTATGTATGGATCACACAAGAAAAGTAATTCTTTTCTTGTATTTCTTCTAGTCCTTGATTTCTGCCATATTATTCATTAACATGCAGTGCTTTACTAAGGAATTGAAGACAGAGAGGCAATTTTGTTCTAAAAGGAGGCCACGACCTTAAGATTTGTGTGAAGATACCTACATCAGATGAAGATGTTTCTAAGGATCTGTTTGTCTCCGAGACAACCACAGCCACAGGGAATTTATCTTTAAAGCATACTTTCAAGGAATGTTTATTGTTGAAAAAAGCAGGCAGAGAAAGCTGAGATGAGTGATCCTGATTTCTGGATTAAGGGGACTGTGTTATTGTTGTCAGGTGCTGTCGAGTTGGTCCCAACTCATAGTGACCCTGTGTACAACAGAATGAAACACTGCCTCATCCTACACCATCCTCACAATTGTTGCTAGGTTTGGCCCATTGTTGCAGCTACTGTGTCAATCCATCTCATTGAGGGTCTTCCCCTTTTTCACTGACTCCTTTACCGAGCATTATGACCTTTTCCAGGGACTGGGCCCTCCTGATAACATGTCCAAAGTATGTGAGATGAAATCTCACCATCCTCACTTCTAAGGAGCAGTTTAGCTATACTTCCTCCAAGATAGATTTGTTCTTCCTTCTGGCTGACCGTGGTATATACAATAATTTTCACCAAAATCACAACTCAGGTGCATCAATTCTTCTTAGAAATTGATGGAAAATTACATTACTCTAAAAAAGCATGATTATTAAGAACTCAGTTCCTACAGGAATGAGGGTTCAAGTCACACAATTGAAGGACCCTATCTGATGAGGTGCAGCCAGAGGCCAAGGGGAATTTGGGGTGGGTGGCAGAAGAAGGAATCCATGATTATTAACATGTTCATCTTATGAACAGCTATAAAAGTAATAACTGTAGCAAATGTATTTTATGTTAATGTCTTCTCCTTTCCCCCATCAACTTATATGAAAAGTACTTGTGCTGGCTAGTATTTTAGTTTCAGGTGGGAGTATGACCAAATTGACACCATCTTATAATGATATGGTGGCTAATAAGAGTCCATGTATAACTCATGTTGGAGATACATTTTTTTTCCCACCTGGATAAGGAAGAGAGTGAATGCTGAGGCCAAAAGGGATGCATTATGCTCATCTGCCTTCCAGATCCATATTCTACCCTCACTCACTCCAGTTAATGACCAGACAGGCTGACCTATGTGAATTGACCAATATATGTCCTTTCTTTCTGGTTTTTAAATACGTTTAGCTAATGGCAGCAGTTGGCAGGACATGGAAAGGTGGAAGGAGAATAAGGTCAAAACATTTATTCCCTGGATCCCTCCTGCAAGGTTTCCGTGAGAATTAGCAGTATCTTTCTACAAGAGGTCCCAACTCCTTGCAGTCTGTCTTCCTCCCATACAGTTCTCTCTCCAGGTTTTGGAAACTGTACTCAACCTTTGTTCCTAACAGGCTTCTAGCTATAGCTAGCCTTGGGCATTGTACTACTTCTTGTTGCTTTATTTAAATTCTTTCCACACCATTAAAAATATCAATATTTTCTTAAACTCTCCTCCACTGCCCAGTCTGAGCATGCCACACGTTTTCTTCTTGGTTTTTCCTATACACTCTTCTCTCTCCTCCTGCCCTCCCCTTCCCTGCAGCAGGATAAAGTCTGGTAATTTAGAAAAGATCACTTATGGATGATAGATGAAGCTAGATTTTGGCATAAATTATTTTGACCCAGCAATAAACAACAACAGAAACAATATTATTTGATTTCTAAAATTAAAACACTTTGTCTAATTAAATAAAAAACCAAAAAAAAAAAGAAAAGCCAAAATATTTTTCTATTGCTCCAAAAGTTTCCATCACAGGGAGATACAGGTAATTAGGACAATGTGAAGA